CATTTTCAGCATAATATTTCTCTTTTCATCTAAAAACCAAAACATACAAAAAGAACCGTAGCACCATATGTTATTAATAATATTCATATTGTTCCCAAAAAAAAGGACATCAGTTTTGCTTTTTTTAAAGAACAGGGTTTCCATTAAACAGTGTACTTACATGTTATATTTAACAACAACAAACAAAAACAAAGAAACCATTCCTTTTATGTTCTCAGTTAAAACATTGGTTGTATGAGTACAATTTCATAAAGATGCTACAGATTGTAGCAAATTTGCTTTCTAACATTGTGCCAACATTTGGAATACCCTGGAGAAAAAAAACAATGGTCTAGGAAATATCCTGATTTGTAAAATACACCAACAAGCTAACACAATCTAGAAATTGATTGAATATAAACAAAGCATTTTTTCCCAACACAATTTGATAACTATTTCAAAAATCAGCAGCAATTAATATAACAACCATAGTCGCTTAATTGGAATATCAAATCCATGTTAAAGAAAATATTACAGCCAATTCTACAATAACAACAAAAAGTAGATACACACAGATTAAGGACATATAGATGACAGGAATTTACAACACAGCAATCACGTTCTATTTTTTTAACCCAAACTCCAGTAGCATTTGTGATCCTGTTCGTCTGCCATAAAGATGCATTTATCTGCCAGTTTCATTCTCTCTCAGAGAAAAGAAATTAAAAAATCCTTGTGCAGATTGAATCATAGTAGACGGAAAACATACTCTATGCTTAAACCAGTATATTAAACAGCAAATGCAGAGTCACTCGTTTTTTGAGCAAGTTAGGAAATCAAAATGGCACCATTGAGAGTTGAAGTCCGCTGTAAACTATGTGGCTGTAAGGTGCTAGCGCTCAAGCATTTTGAGACTGCAAGTATGTGGGGCGCAGGCCCTCTCAGTCAACTGGAAGGCTATGCTATCAGAAAGCTAAAAAGTGGACTGCAGTCCACAGTAGTAGCACCTTTTTAAATGTATTTATTCAGCACCAGGTTATTAACATAAATCAAAACGGAATCAAAAATAAAAGAAGAAAATGCACCATTTTATCATCTGAACATACTGCTCCAGTGGTCAAAGAGATGGTCATGACACAAAGGTACAGATTAAAACCAAGTCAAACACTGACCTGCTGCTACACATTAATGCAGAAATCAGAGGGTTTGTTGTGCAGTCGAGAGCACTCACATGCTAAATGTTGAGGGTCACCTCACAATGACTTCCAAAGGCATGCTGGGAGGTGGTAGGAAAACAAGAAAATTAGGTTATTTAAAAGTGAAATAGTAATCAGGCCTGTTAATCCTTACATTGTAAGCAACATTTATGCAACATAAATGTTTTTTTTGCGCATTTTGTCATCATTGACTTGCGTTCAAATCCAACTGCAGGCATTATTGTTTTGGCTAGAGGATGTATTTTTCACACAAGACAAACGACACAGAAACTTTACGTCTTGGCACCACAAATCATTCATCATTGCAAGACAGAAGTAGATGTAAAGGCATAGACAAAAGTACAAAACAATCATTGACCAAATCGCTCGGTACCGTGGCTGGCATCTGTTAAGAGTTTCAATCTAACAGTCCAAAACTAACACTTTAGAGCTCAGTCCAAACTGCTAATTGTAACTTGCTGAGTTAATTGGGGCTGTTGTATTTCAGCTTGCTCCAACGTAATATAGATGAGGAACCCTACGTTCAAGTACAGAAGGTGTTCAGTATTGCCTTACTTCTCCTCCCATGTCTTTGACATACCCACCACTTGGTTCTTTCACTCTGTTATTAGTTGTAATACTGTAACGAGGAAACAGTGCAACTGTGGATGTCAACTTAAATGAAATAGTAAGATTAAATGGAGTTGTCAAATGAGGTGACAAAATTGAGAACTTGGCTTGATTTGGTTTGGAGAGACAAACAGGAAGAATATTGTTTGGTGTTGTCACCATCTTGATGAGTGGCACATGAAACAAGTAAAGAAACAAATTGGCATTGTTGTTTGCGGGCCTGGCTGCCATGGCTGGATTGAAGCACCCAAAGTAACAAGGCACAACAAGGACTGAGTAGAACAAGCTTGCTGCTCAAACACTCTTGTGCGTTGTGTCAGTTGAAAGATGTGGGCTTGTAACCTGACAGAAACAGGGGATTTCTTTGTGACCTTGTTCATATTGTAAAGTGTGACGGCCAAATATAATATTTCTATGGTAATGTTTCCAAATGCAACCCTTCTGTAGCTTAGCTTTTGAAACCTGTGTATAATTAAGGAAAACATTAAAAATACTAAATCAAAACCCACTTATTGGGCTTCTAGCTAATTTGTTTAAAAATACACAGAATGTGGCAATAATGTGATTGTTCTGTAGAAATAAGTAAAATATACTGCATGTTTAATAAAAATCTAGACTTGTACATTTAGACTCTTCACATACTTAATTAAAATCAACAATGTAATTAACTGTAATTACTTTTATTCATATGACACAGCTAAGCAAGCATAAATACTCTGCATTATACGACATTAAGCACCACAAGATGAAATGCAGCCCAATTGTACATAATCTTGGTTGTTATAATATATACTCCTCCCACACAAAGACACCCGCACAAAAATGAATTAATCACAGTGTATTTGCACCTGATTTGGACTTATGTCCATGTCTGTAAAATGTCAGCAGTGTTTGCCAGGCAGCCAACTACCACAAAAAACTGCCTATCCCCCCACCAATAATAAGAATGAGCAACCATTCCCATTAAAACAAATGTGCAAACCATAATTAAGTGGTGCAATCCCAGCCACGTAGTGGTCCAGGATGCAATTTTGTAAGGAAAAAATGGAGGACATGCCTGGGGATGAGAACTGCATTGAGACACCCCTGAGTCAGCTGGTTTAGTGGTCTTGGTTGTTGGTCCTGAGGAACCCCTGTATTGGCTGTTTTGCTTAGTTTTTTTTTTTAAGTCCAACAATATTTGTTTACATTAATTGGCTTGCTATTAACATGGCTGTTAATTCACTACAACAAAGAGAACTACTGGCTGCTATGGTAAACAATGAACAACTTGGTTGTTTGCATACTCATGTATATCAAAACATACGGGGTGTTGGATGTTTGCTACACCCTAGCTGACCCAACAGTTAAATATTACTCAGGGCTGAACATCGCTTTAAGCTGAAGGGTGGCAGACCCTGGATGTTGAAGCTCTTGGTTATGGCAGTGTACCTCATTGCATGTTCTCATGCCAGGATCTCCAGTTGTTCAGCCTCAACCCCGTTGTTCAGTTACCAGAAAGTGTGAGAGTGTGTCATGGGAGTGCACCAAGGCCTAGCAACGCAGGGATTGGGAAGAGGGCAGAGCAGCAACCAAGGATGGAGCCGAACTTTCGGCGAGAGGACAGAACTGTGGAAAAGGGCTCAGGAGATACACATGACACGCATGCATACACGCCACCACGCAAACACACTTAAATCCTTAAACACACAAACTGTAGGTTGTACAGCACGTGCTAACAATAAAACACCCATCTTTCTTACACAAGCATACGAATAGTCATACAGCATAATTCAGTCAAGACCTTTCTCAAGTTCTGTCCTCATGTTCATTTCCATCCCTGGCAAAAACCCCCTCTCACCTTTGGCCTGGACTTAACGTGGAATCTGCCTTTTACAGTACGATGTTAGCAGGCACATTTGGCCACAGCTAAGCAGAAAGCCTGTGAGCCAGGAGAAAGGAATCTCTGCTTTGCGTAGGGCTCTTGGTCATCCCTGGTTGGGTGCATTGGTACTAATGCCTCATACTAACGTCATGCCAAACAATGTAGAAAACACACATTATATATTTGGATGAATCATTGAGTAAATAGATACAATTGGAGTATGAAATGCATTCATTTTTTAAATAAATTGTTTAGTAGCCCTCTCTGGAAGTTTTAGTCAAACTCCTTTGACCTAGAAGGCATCTTTTTTTAAATATTTGATTTCATTATTGTCATGAGTAAATACAGTGGCCGTCCCAAGTGGGAGATGTTGTGTGTACTCACTTTACAGCAGGCCTATATATGTTAATGTTTAGCAAGGACTCATTCTACTGTTTCAAGGGGACAGATACGATGGAAAGACAGTTCTGTAAGATGCGATTTGGCTTTGTTTCAACTGCACTAGCAGTGCCAAAACAGTTGACCTGTTCACCCATATTAGAGTATAACCTCTTGATGGGCACACTGATGTTGAGGAGTATAACTTTTAACACTGCACTGCACAACAATTGTTGTTATGTAAAAAGTTTGTGTTCTGGCAAAATATAGATGTCAATGTATCAATGACTATAAATGAGGACACAAACACGCACTGAAGTATAATAGCATAGAAATATCTTCTCCTAGTTGTCTTTTTTTTAAAGAACTTATTACGAGTCTTTGCACCCGATAAGCATATATTATCAACCCTAACATTTGTTGATTAGAAAACAAAATAGGGAGGCTGTACTTTCTAGGATTCAGAAGGGAATGGTGGAGGATTCCTTGAAGGCTGTCTTTGCAATTCAAACAAAAATGTGTGTTAACACATTTATACCCTTCTACCCTTTACTAAACCCCTACAATCTTTAAAAAAAAGTCATTGGAATGTTTAATTATGATCTACCCACCAATTCAGAAAATGTTGTGCTCATTTCCATTACATTCTATTTTCCTTTCATTGTGTTTTTCTTTAATATTTGTGCTGTCACAATTACGGGCAACAATAACCATGTAAGGCATGCTTTTCCAGTTCGCCTCCACTGGAGGGCAGTCTGCACTGTTGAAATTATATATGTGGGTGGAACTGATTGAAGGTCGGTGTGCTTCTTTTTCCTTCCATACATGATGCGATTATGATTAAGGGTTTTGAACAAAAATAGTACGGCCTGGTTCCACTTGAGCCACGTATGGCTCACAGAGGGATAATTCACTTTGAAGTGCTTCTTCTGGACACATCTTTGATTGTGTCCTTTTTGTTATTTACAGTATCGCGATAGAAATTTCAGTGCTTTTCAATTCACGGGCTAAGGAATTAGTAAACATTATCATACAGTACAATCATTTACATAAAGAATGGCAGTACATGTTGGGATGTGCAAAGACCTGCCCCCATTGAGACTCTCCTCCATCATTCCCATCAGGCTTTTGCGCCAGTCCCATGTCACAGGGACATACAATATGCCCTTCAAAAGTATTCACAGGTTGAATCACCAATACAGTATAATGTATTAAACACATTTCATAATGAAACATTCATATTTTATCTACACACGCATACAGAACCCTCCTATATCAATGTAGAGGGATTTACATGATTCTTCTGTATATATCACAGATACTGGAGGTTCATGATTTTATCTCTGTACTGTTTCTTTTCCAAAAATAAACAATGGCTGTGTGTTTCGACCGTCTCGACACACATCTCTTGCAGGAAAATAGAATGATCAGAGAGGAGAGAAGGAGATAGCAGTGTGCCAAATGGAAAGAGATCATATCTGGAGAGGAGGAAGAGCATAGTCCAAGAAAGGATAAGTATGTGCATCGTAGTGTGTAAGAGGACATGGCAGAGCTGTAGGAGAAGATGCCTTCAGAGGGAGGATTCGTACTGCAGGAGTTCATAGAGAAGTGGACCGTCCCTATACCTGATGCCCACCGCGTTAGGGCTAATGTACTGCAGCACATTTATGGTCCTGCGCAGCCGCCGATCCACAAAGTGTGCATCCCATGCTGGGTAGCGTTTTCTGGGCATGTCTATCTTAATGAGAGGACCCTCGGGCTGGATGGGCCTGCCAGTGGCATCCACAGGCTCTGTGGACCTCACCTGGAAAACCGGTAGGCAGGTGTCCGTGGGTGTTTCATCTGACTCCTCATATTCCCCTGCCAGACCCCGTGTGGGGGTGGCCTGAGAACCACGCGGTCCAGGTGTGGGAGCCATGGGCTCGGCCTCAGGGGGTAATGGAAGGCCCCAAAGAAGCTCAGCGCAGCATGAGCTGGCCAGCACCCTCAGCCGGGGGCCCATGGGGTGTAGGACCCCGTAATAGAGAACCATACAGGCCACACCTGAGGCAAAGCACAGGAAGACACCACAGAGGGCAAAAGTGGCATAGGCGTCAGTTGTGACTGGGTCACGATACGCATACCAAAGGAGGCTTAGGATGGCGTTCTCTAACAGCACTACTGTATAATAGGTCACCATTCTGTACCGCGTCCGGCCCTCGCGTACATTGAACCAACAGAAGACATAGACCACCCCCACCACCATGTTAAACAGTACTTCCTCCCACTTGGACATGCAGAAGTCGGTGCCGCCATGGATGACCCAGAAAGCCATGGCACACCAATGGAGCACCACAAAAATGCCAAAGTATATGTGGAAAACCGAGGCAAATAGGGCAAGGGAGATCACCCGTGAGGAGATGGTAAAAAGGCGCCAGAACAGATGCACCAGGGCACCTCGGTAACTCATGCTCTTCTGGTCGTCACGTGAATCACGCAGGAGTTTGTGGTAAGAGGCTAGCACCCAGGCCAGGGACAGGAGGGAGGACATGGTTGAAAGACCTGTGAATATAGACGGAGAAAGAGTGTGAAAGAAGAGAAAGACTAAGAATGAGATACACTGACATGCTATGAGATGGTTTTCAAAGCACCAGAAATGTAAAGAAAAATCCAGTTTTTATTTCTAGTCTAAAGCACAATCCAAAGAAAAATACTTTTATCTTGACTTGGCTGGCATTCCACTTACAGTACATTTCATTTCAGCCAAAGCAATCTATCACATTCTAGAAAGCCATATTATTACCAAGATCATCATAGGTCGTTCAGTCAACAACAATTCAGTTTCCTTTGGACTTGTATAACAGTAGAGACAGCATTATGTCAGAGCAGTAACCTGCTACATGAAAAATGATAGAGGATTATCTGCAGAGCAGCAGCATGGTGCCTCTCAGCAAATGAATTGATGGCATTTCTATAGACACCCAGACAGGGAGGGTATCACTTGTTATGATTGAATTGCCTTCCTTGGGGAGCTGTTTTGCACGTGGAAACTGGAATTGTAAAAGAGCTTTCAAAAATGATGAATGTTTGAAATTGAATACAATGGTGGAGAATATTGCACACTATAAATAAAGCGATATGTGAACTTCACAGAAAATGAACTGTCAGGTTTAAAATATGAAACCATCTCAGCATTATGGGACAACAGTATGACGTAATGCACAAAAGAAGGATATGAAAGATGTCTGGAATTAGACACAAACATAATGAGAGTTGTGTGTTGCCTGTATAGTGCCATATGGAAGTCCTTACACTGCAGCCACTCAGCATTGTTGCTCTGGATCATAATGCAGAGCTGCAGCACCATCTGAGGGGCGCTTTCTAAGAAGGTCTCCAGCAGTCGCAGCATGTTGACATCGGCATACTCGTACATCATAGCCCAGTAAAAACGCCGCTGGTTCTCCTTCTGCCGGTGACTCTGTATACCGAGGTACATGGTGCGGATGTACCTGCAGAGAAAGGAAGGGCGGACAGTTAGACAATCTAATAATAACTTCTTTATCTTATGGAAACAAAGGGCACAATAACACGTTTTAATATTTTAAACTGTTGCATCACATGGTTGAGTTTGGTTGAGTTTTGACATCCTTAGCACACTTAGTAGCTATCACTTTTAATAGCACAATTCAAATATTGTAATTTGCATTCATAAGGGATAAAGATGTTCATATCTTTACCAATTATATAAACATTTAATTACAGAAAATGTGTGGACTTTGATTACAACATAATCTTTGTTAAACAAAAACATATTGCAGGAAGCTGTAGTGATAAAACTGAAAAGAATAAAGACAAGAAAACCAATGTAGTACAATTAAAGGGTACAAATAAAACATAGTCATGAACTGTCCTTTACTATTCTACATACAAATATATTCCTGTCAAACCAAGTAACTACTTGCATAGCAGCTTTATTCCACAGTATCACTGCCTTGTGTAACACAGCTACAACAACAGTTAAAAACATATTTTTGGCCCGCGGTAAGCATGGCAATGATCATTGTCACCACATGACCCTTATTGTCAGCTGTATGGGCTATTTTCATGATTTGTGTAGTTTCATAACGGTGAAGTGATTCTGGTGAAGCCATGGGAGTGGTGGGTAATGCAGCTGAGAAGGGCTGGCTAATTGAATCAAGCTCCTGTTGCCATCCAAGCTGTACCACTGCTTTGATGGCATTGTGTAATGCTGGGCAAACATGTAATGGGCCCAGGGCTGTGATATAGCTAATTAAGATCATAATCTTCTGTGGGTATGGATTTTGAAACGTAACGCTGCAGTCAAAGCCGCCAATTAACATGCATGGAAGAAGACCACAAGTGATTAAGAGGAAAACATTTTTGCAGAATCTAAGCCTTGGAAGGAAACATCCCCAAATCCTTGGTAAAAACATCAATCCTTTCAACTCCAAAGAAGATGTAAAACTGCGGCCTGGTGGTTTTTTACCCTCTCTAATCTGTAAACAACTTCAGCTCTTCAAACATGTTAACTCGGAGAGAAAACAATCGCTGAAACCATTACGACAGTTAGAGTTATCTTAAGAGTGGATTCAGACATTTCATATTGTGTTGTAACCGCAGGGCCTATCTGCCTGAGCTGGCAGAGTAGCCAAATAAATCCTTCACTTGATGTGAAGGCAGTCAACCGAGGACAATAGTGTAGCAAGGACAGAAATAGACTAGACAGTAGCACTCCCCAAAACAAATTGAGAGGCCATGGATCTAAAATCAGTTCCTAAGAGACAGAAATCCACTGCAGCATAGCAAACACAGACAGAAAATGCTTATGAGTGGTTTTCAACATAATTAGCTTCTGCATTAGCTATTGGGAAAGAGATTACTGCTTAATTTGAAATGAGGTTGAGATCAGTGCACTGTAAAGAATGCATCATCTAGTCGGGTCTGATTGCTTTTTGTTATTGCTTTGATTCAACCACTTCCTATTCACAGTACATTCAATACAACTCAGTAGACCTTCAGCTAAATGTGATAATGGGAGTGTGAAATACATCTGGTACAAATGGCTCCTCTCCCATCGTTTACTTGATCTCACAAAAATAATTTAAACTATAAATAGAGGTTTATACTACAACGATCATAAATAGTTGAGGGTTGGGTGCGGGCTTTGATAGGATAACTTTCACTAATGTAATCACTTAACCTATAGATTTGACATTATTATTTCTGTAGAATTGTGCAAAGTTATTTTTATGTGATCCTTAATACTTATTTCATGCCTAAGAATATCAACATGCTTTGGTGAGATATTCCAAAAAGATATAGAGAAGGATACTAAATTGACTTTTGCATCAAAGTTCCGTCTGCTTTCATTTTACTTTTCTGGCATTGTTGGCAAACCTCTACATAACATGTCAGTTAGCAAACCTAAAAGACAGCCAGTGTCCCTCAATGTGTGAAAGAAACTGAATAAAGGAATCAATGGAGGAAAAACTCCCACATGCACCCAATATTAGTGTGGAAACTTGATGACTCAAAGATCTGCCTGTCAAATAGACAGTGAATAACAACCATTCACATGTTTTGTCATGTTATTATCCACACTAGTGTGACAAAACAAACTTAAAATATCCCCCGAGGAGGATCTACTCTGTCCCCCGCACTGCTCTGGCATCATTTACTCGCTGAGCCAAATCTGCTAATGCACGCAGTAAACGAAAATGATGAAAGCTCTGGCTGGGAGCAGGAACGGTGGTCTTCCTCGGGACAGTGGACAGAAGGAACAAGAGAGGAGGCAACATGGACACAAGTTTTTGGGGATCAATAGCTCTAGGCTGTAAGAGGCACCATTATATCCAGAGTTAAAAGCTGGCATTCCGTGACATTTTCAGTCGGACTGGTAAATGTCAGATGAAGCAAGTCAACCCCTCTTTCTCACTAATGACATGCCACAGAGACCTGCGCCGATTCTTTGTCTCCATCCCCCCTATTTCCATTAGTCTGTGTTCCAGTGATGCGTCTCACTGGTCTGTAGTGCCTCCGTCAAAAAAAGTAATTTTCATTGTCTCCATAGATGTCTCACTTTGAAAAAACAACCTTACAGACGTGAGCTGCTCTGTGAGGCTGCACCCAGGAACAGCTGTGCTATAAGCTAAATGCTAATGGCAGCGTGCTACACTGCTCTCGACTGCAAGGCTAAAATGCCGATGTTTAGCAAGTGCAAGCTGCAGCCTGCAACTGATGGGTGTCATTAGTTTTGCAGCTATATCAATAGTATTAGACAAACAGAAAAAGCACTAGATGAGAAGTTGTTACAATTCAACCAGTAGCCAATTAAAGTTTAACTGTTGTTTAGATATTAAACGTCATGGTGGCACTATATGTCATATAATTACTAAAGTCATTAAGAGAAGTAAATGTTGAGAGAATAAGTGAAAAGCTTAAGCCTGCCGGTGGCACTATATTCAAAATCAGGGAGTCACCAAAATCTGTTGTCTGGGCAACATAGGAGTTTGTTCCAAATTGCATTGAAATCCATCCAAAAGGCATTTAATTGTTATTATCGCCTATAATCTATTTTAAACAAACCAACAGTAGTTTACCGTACCTATACCGTTGGTGCAATAATCTAGACTACAGCTCTGATATTCAAGCACAAAAAACTAGAAAGTATGGTTTCCATTACACATTACAAACGGCCCTTTCATTTGATACCAGGCCACACTTTATTAGCTCATATTCCCATGGTTTCAGCAGAAAAAACGTGTGCAGTCGAACACTTTGGGTTTCACAGCTGTCATAAAAATCTGAACTCACTCCGTCACATTCCAACACACACATAGCGCATGCCTTAGCAAGAATCTTACACACATCCTGTGATTGTGATACACACTTCTAACACTCCCACTGTGCCTTTTTCAGATGTAGTAACACAAATGGCTGTCTAAAAATAAGCACACACAAATGTGTGCGTTCACACGCAGTCTTGTCAGAACTGTAGGTAATGGGGGATTTCCTTTCTATTCCAGACACATTTGTCAGATGGATCTTTTTATGTCTTCCTCCCTTCATGTCTCGGCCATGCACCACTTAGGCTGTGGTCCACTCCTTGATGCTTTCACCCCCCCTTTCCCTTTTAGCTCCATAGCTCCACTACAGAGCTCCTCATGAATTATTTGTGGCAAGATCATAGCGATCGCTCATGCCTCGTTAAGCAACGTACGGATGGCCTAACAGCTCTACGCTGTGCTGGGGCCGTGTTCCAAGATCAGCCGTCTGCCATTGCAGTCGATACACAGCCAACCAGTAACCCCCCCCCCAAAACACATACATGCAATCTTGAGAACATTTTTACAACATCTTAAAATGAGCAAAATGTAGCCAGTTTTTGAGACATTTGAAGATCTGTGAATGAGCCCGTTCTCCTCTTAATTGACCGGTGAGTCATCCAACTACCGTTATACTTATTCATCTAGTGGGTGGTAAGAAGGATCCCATCGACGGACATAGTCAAGTTTGACAGCATCTGTCTTCTAAGCCGATTGTGGGAAGGCTCCGTGGCTCAGACTGCATTCATATCTTGTCATAAGCTGATTCATAAGATCACATGTAACATTACAGCAGCATGGAGCAGAGCTTATGCATTGGCTGTTAACAGGTGGAATCCAACAGAACGCTAAGCATGGGGGACACATAGCATACACAATGCCTGAGGGTTTATGAAAAAGTGTGAGGTTGTGTGTGTGTAAGGTGGAGTCGATGCCAGCTGCGATGAGTCACACCCTGAGTCACTCAGTGGGGCTGCACATTGACTCTCAATGAGGTTCAAACCTCTTTTAGCAGGGAGATTTAAATGTCTCCCTCTTTCGCTTCTCTGTGTCTTTGCTACTTCTGTGTCTCTCACTCTTTTCATAAGTCTTCCTAACACCCCGCCTAGAATGCAGAACAGAATTCAATTTCTGTCTGCAGAGATTTATCTTCTTCTATACTGTCTTTTCCCGAGGAAATTGGTGGAGGGTGTGTGGGAGTGCAGTTACAGCAGGTACTTCAGATACTTGGCCAATTTTATTTTCTACCTGTTCTGTTTTGGTTTTTAAACTCATTACCTAGTTAGATGAGCAATTCTGCAAGTTATATCGTTGGGTCCTATCTGAGTTACCATTGTGATATAATAATTCCTCTATTTAATCATTTATAATCTAGTTGTTTACCCATGTCCATGCCCATATAACTTTCTCAGGATCTAGTGTATACTTTATTTTTCAATTCTTCCCTTTAGGTTTGCACAGCCCTCTGCCGGCCTGAGGGAGTCAGCTTGCTTCAAACTAAACAGGAGGCCAGAGGAAAGATATTTTTCTGGATTTAAACTTCTCTTTCTTGTCCTTCAACTCCTCTATCAGGTCTCCTTCTTTAAATTGAAATGACAAGCATTTTGAAGTACCAATCATACTCACTTATTACAAAATACACACATAATATTGCCATCTCGTATGTTTTGTTGCAGCCAGCAAAAACTCATGTTGTGGCTTTCTATCAGAGAATGTA